ACCGATAGACCGTTAACCGAAAATAACCAATGCCAAAATGGTCAAAAACAACCACAACAAGGAGGCGTAGACGTTGAACTGCCTAAATTAGGCTCTGGAACACCAGAAGCTACTGAAGTTGAACCTTCAACATCAGGATTTGCCAAAGCTAAGTCCACGACAGAAAGATTTTCGTCAACCAGGAAACGAAGATATTATAGTATTCAGGAACTATCTCCATTGCCGCAAGCTTCACTTGGAGCTTCAAGGAAAAGATTAAGAAAACCTAGTAAAAAAGGACATATAAATTCCACGCCAGACATTGATGAATTAAAAAAGAAAGTAGAAGAAAAAACAACAAAGGAGAGGGAAAAGTTATCAAGAAAAGCAAAAAGGAAAATTTTGGTTGAAGAAGAAACGGATTATGTCAGTGATAATGAAAAGGTTGAAGACATTGATGACGATGAAGCCGATGTTGCATGTTTATATTGCAATGATATATTATCTAGGTCGAAAACAAGAGAAATCTGGATTTTATGTCAGAGTTCTGGTTCCTGGTGCCACAATAAGTGCGCGGGTGTTGAAAAAAGAATCAAGCAATTGATCTGGGAACCTTGTGAACAACTTTTTTTGTTAAGTTTTGCCTTAATGTTTCGTTATTTGATGATTTCTATTTAGTTTATTCGTTTGTTGATTCGTTTTATTTTTTACATTCCCTTGCGATTTAAATTACTAAGGCGCCTATGCCATAACTCTCCATGTACTTTTTCAGTTGTGTAGCATAGGTACTGGCCTAGTTGGACTATCCAATTTGTAGCTACCGTTTGTTTATGACACTGTTGCTATTAAACTTCCTTCTTTAGTAGTCATATTACAACCCTCTTTGCTAAACGTAACGGTATAACCTCCATTAACAATCTTACTGACTAAAAGCAAGTTTACAGCAATTTTTGGTACATACGCTACGTCTTTCACAAGTACCTACTTCTTCAGTTTTTTTGCTTTTTACTGAAACTCTTTCATTTTTCACGGCTTCCCTTTCATCTTGGAATTATCTTAGGCGCTGATTTCTATATTTCTGCACTCTTTTGGATTTTTCAACCACTCTGAATTTGCTATCCTGTGACATGAAGCGCATGAGTCAACAGACCATACCCCAGTGTATTGCTGATTGCTGGCTGCAAAAACAAAGAATGAGCTTTCTGCTTTGTATTTGGACGTACTTTTCCCTTTATTCCAGTCACTCGTTTTTTTCCGCTCGATGCCTTTGTTGAATTTCTTGTTCTTACTGTTACAGTTGCTGGCATAATGTCCAAACTTGTTGCATGCATAACATCGAACCTTGTCACGATCAATTGTTCTATGTGGGAGTAAGGCTGCTGCATTGTGGGAGCTACTTTCAGCTGAACTATTCTGAATATCTTGCAGTAGTTTCGTTTTAATTGAATCGGTTGTAATTTCTGTTCCTGGATTCTCTATGTTCATAATCACTGGTTTGTACTCTTCAAACAATCCAGCAAGAAGGAGTGTTCCTACCCATTCACCAGGAATTTTGAAACCAATACCATCTAGCTTGTGGGCGGTTGTGATGATTCGATTTTCATACTCATCTACCGAACTGCAGCTATTCAATTGCGTTGTCACAAGAGTTCTGAGAAGACCATCTTTTCTTGTCAAACCATTGCCTTCGAAAGCCCTTTACAACTTATACGACGTTTCTTTAGCTGTCGTGGTTTCCTGGATGTGAACGTAATTTATCAACTGTGAAGATGATCTTCGACTTTGCCTTATTGTTTTTCTTTGCATCGGTCGTGTAGGCTTTAATTCCTTTTTTACAACCCCAAAGAACCTCTTGTTCAAGATACGCTTGCATCCCAAATTTCCAGACGCTTTGTTCTGCTCTATGCAGCTAGACCCATAACCTGATGAGGTTGTGGAATTTATATCGGTATGCACAAATGCATAAAACGAGAGGATTATATTTCTAGTCTTCCATCTTGTTTTTAAATACATATATTTGAATGTTTTCTTTTCAAGTGCGATTTCGCAGTGTTGTTGTTTTTTACTCAGCTCGAAACAGATTTTTTTAAATCGGGATTCACAACATCGTTAGGGTCATCACAGTAGCAAAAAGGATAATTTACTTCGAAAAGTGCAATGAGTATTATTGGAGAAATTTTAGACGATTTGGCAATCACAATGAATGAAAATAGAGATTAAAAGAAATGTGTCGAACTGTTAAAAATATATATGGAGAAAATGTGGGAGTAATGAATGCCAGGGCCTGAAGGGTAATAAAACAAATAAAAGGACTGGAAAACTTATAGTTACATAAAATTCAAGAATAGAGAATATGCAAAATATCTAAATATAAAACGGGATAAAAATTTAAACATGAAAGTCTACGCTAACGAAACAGCTAATAAAGCAGAAACGAAAGACAGGATAATTTTGAGGGTATTACTACACAAGAGAGGACCTAACAACAAGATAGTAAAAACTCTTTGAAATAGAAGTTTTTATCGTTGATCTTTAGTGTAAATATCAATACGATGAAACTTGGCTTAATTATAGTTTATTAGAAAATGGTGTGTGTATCAGGAACAACCAATTGTTTCTGTTTTAATTCTTGCGTGTTGTTAAGTATCCAAATCAATAAAAAGCATTAATTAAAAAAAGCTACTGACTTTTGTTCGAACAAACTCAAGCATACGCACTAAACAATGTCTTTTCAATTGTTGAACGCTTATTTAAAAGTGGGGCAGTTTCTCGTAATGACTCCGCCTTCCACTGAATATTACAAAAACACAAAATTTCGTCAAATCCTTCAAGTAGTTGTAATTCTACTTACGATTACTTGTGTCACGGTATCAGTGTATTTCAGAGATTTCTACTCAAAGTACAATTTTGCAAAAATAACAGTATGTCTTCTTACCGATATTGTATTGTGTATTTATTGTTGTCGGATAGTCGTTGAAGGGTCCAAAGTGTTGCAGTGGAGTGAATTAATCAGTGGTCTAAAAAATACATCCTGTTTGTTAGACAAGAACGACGGTGATGAAAGGAAACGGATACAATGGAAATTTGTGCTACCCCACCTTATTTTCTGTATTGTCGCAATTTATATAACGCAGAACTGGTTTTCCATTTTGGGGTTGTTGGAGTTAGGATACGCGTTCGAGTTATTGCAAAATTATGTTCAGTTTTATCACACCTTGTATTTGCACACAATTCTAGAAATGATTCGCCAAAGATATGAAGCTTTGAAGTGCTACTTCGAAAACGAGAAAAATTTACATCAGATGAGTTGCTTTGTCTGCACTTTGAAGGACACTGTGAACAGATTTAATGCCATTTACGGATGGTCTTTACTTTTACTCATCGCTTTCACTACTCTTCAATTTCTTAATTATTTAGAATATAATCTTGAATATCACGAATTTGGAACAGAAAACGCGTCTCATGTTGTAATATCACAAGTACTAACGATTCTTCTACCTTTCGTAGGTATTGGTGTTTGTGTATTTCCCTTTTATAATTCATTTGTTGTAGATACCTACAAGCATGGTACTTTTGAAATTTGAAAATATAGTGGCAGAATCCGAGGATCTTGTTTTTCTGGTAACGAAATCCACTACAACAATTTTAGATTTAAACGTAAGGGAAGAAATGGATAGATTTGGTGATATGCTAGCAAAAAATCTTCCTCGCTTTAGTGCAGCCAGATTTTTTGTCCTTGGTCGATCTACAATCTTGGGTATATTTGGAACGGTTGCTACGTTTTTTATCGTTTTAGTTACATTTGAACCTAATGCAAGATTAGATCATGCAACTGCAGCAAATATGTCTCTGTTTCCCAAATAAAAACAAAATTGTCTTAAAATTGTAGTAACCATGAAACACCTAAAATACTACTTTATTCGAAATAAATAATTATTTAGTATCGTCTTAAAGTTAAAAAACTATCCCGAACGATAATTCTCAGTCTGTTTTTGTAGAGTGTGTTGTAAAAAGGTAGGTAAGGTATCCATATTTTTATCATTACTATATTTTTGAAATTGTCATATTTATTTTTGTTAGTTAAAATTTCAAACAACTGCTTTAATTTATTGATATCTTATTGCTTCCAATTAAACACGAGAATGCAGTTTCGGAAATGACAGACGGAAACGGGAGACTGCTTTTTTCGCACTGTAGGGGTCATAAAACGTCGAGGAAACATAAAAGTGGCTGTTGGACTCGATTACAATACTACCTGCACTTAGGCTCGGGAAATAAAAAGCGATAAATGTTAATTTAGTCAAGGGAGACACGAACGGAATCCAGGCATGTATCGAAACAAAGGCATACTTCAATTATCAGTAAACGAATGACGCAGCAACATGGCCCAATGGTATTGGAGCTGACGTCATTGCGTCTACTTGACAAACAGGGCGCTTCTTGGGTGCCTGGTGGCCTCCGCACAATATTCTAAAAACTTCGATTACATTTCTGCCGACCGAGATTCGCACTCTCAAATGAAAATTACATTACAATACTTCCCCTCGAGTCAAAGTTCGAGAAAGACTCCACTAAATGAATGACGTCGTTGGCACCAGGTTTTGTTCGAAACTAAGAATTTTCTGTATACCCCTCCGCCACTCATGTAGACTTTCACTCTGCGTGATAAATTTTAATTATTCCGCTATTTCAGTTTTATATTCAGTAAACAAATTATGTAATCCTAGGGACCTCACCCTATATTACTCTATTTGAGATATTTGGATTCGACGTTAAGTGTACCCTTTACTCTAGCACTAATTTTTCAGAACATCAAAGTTGAACTAATAATTTTCATATTTAATCATTCCTGCACAATTATTCTTATAAATTCAATTCTAGTTAGGAGATAAGGTCGTCACCATTATCAGCTGTGGTGATAATTTCAGTTGTAAAATTACTAGTAGACACTAATTAAGAATTATTAGACACCTATCTCCTTTAACAATTGTAAACTACAAACCCAATTAATTGCACCACAGTTACAACAAGTTTGTGATAATCTCATGTAGTCTCCCCTTTACGATGGAAGATCAACAACGCTCAAACCTGTACAACAAAACACGAAAAGTGCACCCGAAAAAACGATCAAATATCTTATTCCATTTCTTATTTTGGTAAGACATTCTCTTCCAGTTTCCTCTTAGCAATAATATTGTCATAGCTGGGAACTACCTGTCGTTATCAAGGGATGGAAAAGAGATCTGAGTGAAGATGATATGTATGATCCGCTTAGGGAAACCGATTCTAAACGCTTGGGTGACAAACTGGAGAAATTATGGAAAGATGAAGAAATGCTAAGAAAGAAGCCTTCTCTAGCTCGAGCACTTATGAGTCAATTTGGCTTGGAATTTTTACTGTATGGACTTATATATTTTCCTGTTGATTTAGTAGTTATGTAAGTAAATTTCTCTAACTTTATATTATCAAAAAACGTCTGCTTTTAGCTTGTTACAACCACAATTTCTGATAAAACTTTTAAATTATTTTGTACCCAATCAGAAAACCACTTCACAAAAGCAAGCTTTAATATATGCTGCCATCATTGTACTATTTTCGTTTCTTAGAGTTTTATTTTTCCATTGGTTTATACTACAACTATCCACCGTAGGACTAAAAGCTCGAATCGCATGCTCTTCATTAATTTATAGAAAGTCTCTCAGTTTAAAAAGAACAACGTTTCAGAAAGTTACCACGGGGCAAGTCATTAATTTGTTGTCGAACGATGTCTATCGTCTAGATTTTGTATTTGCTTACGTGCATTTTCTCTGGATTAGTCCTGTGGAAGCAATAGCAGCTGCATTTTATCTAGATTTGACATTAGGACATGCGGCTTTGACTGGTATTGGTTTCATAGTGGTTTGTTTGCTCCTTCAAAGTTTGTACTATATTGTCAAACTTTCAAAGTTTTTAAAACTTTGTTTTCAGCTTTAATGTCTCAGCAAATAGCACGTTGCAGAAAAGAAGTTGCTCTTAAAACAGATTACAGAATTCGACTAATGAATGACATAGTAGTTGGTATTCAGGTCATAAAAATGTATACGTGGGAAAAAACTTTCATCAAGTTAGTAGAAGCTGCCCGAAAGTAAGCTTCTCAATAGTTTAATTTCATCAAAAGTAATAATTCATTTTAGTCTAGAAATGAAGAGAGTGGCTAAATCTATCAACTTCAGAGTTATTAATAACAGTCTTAGATTACTCTACACACGAATGTCTATCTACATTTGTGTTTTGATTATGATATTCAACGGTGTACCTCTGACGTCCCAGTACATTTTCGGTCTAGTTAACACCTACGAATTTTTAAAAATTTCTGCCATTATTTACGTACCCCTGGCAGTAACGTTGTTTTCTGAGGCACGAATTTCTGTCTCTAGAATTCAGAAATTTCTCTTGACAGAGTTCGAAAAACCAAGTGAACTGGCAAAAAATTTTCGTCAAACTGAAAGTGTGTCATCTGTTTATTTAATTAAAAACGACAGTGGTTTGAAAAATAAACCACTTGGTGTTTTTTTGGATAATGTTTCTCTCAAATGGAACCAATCTTTCACACGCAACACTTTGACTAATGTCAATTTTACAGCTACTACAGGCGAAGTGGTAGGCATTATAGGTGCGGCTGGGAGTGGCAAAAGTACTTTATTACAAACCATTTTAAAAGAACTAGATGCCCAAAAAGGCAGTGTTGAAGTAAATGGTACGGTTTCGTATGCTTCACAAGATCCATGGGTTTTTCCAGCTAGTGTTAAACAAAATATACTCTTCGGAGAAGAAATGGATGCCGAAAGGTACCGAAAAGTGATCAAAGTGTGTGCTTTGGAAAGGGATTTTTCTCTTTTTCCTTTTGGTGATAATACTTTAGTGGGAGATAGAGGAGTCATGTTAAGTGGAGGGCAAAAAGCTAGGATTAATTTAGCCCGAGCTGTATACCGAGATGCTGATATCTATCTTCTAGATGACCCTTTATCAGCTGTAGATGCTCACGTCGCAGAACACATATACAAAGAATGTGTGACGGGCTATTTAAGGGAGAAATGCGTGGTTTTGGTGACTCATCAAGTCCACCATTTGAAGAATTTGGAAAAAATTTACCTTTTGAAATTAGGGAGAATCGAAGAAGTTAGCAATACGAATTTAGAACTTGTGCGGATGAAAAAGGAAGACAACAAAACTATGAGTGAGGATGTAGGGGACCTGCACTCAAGTCACATTCCTTTGGAAATCAAAGAACATAGAAGTAGCAACTCGATGGGAAGAAAGATTTACAAAGACTACTGCTTGGCAAGTGGTAGCTGGTTCAAAGTTTTCCTCATAGTACTTATGCTAGTTATCAGTCAAGCATTAGGAAACACAGTTGAATACTTTGTGGCTTTCCTAGTCAATTTGAAACAAGATATCACGTTTCACACAGAACTCAAAGATATATTCACTGTCAACAACTGTACATACATATATAGTAGTTTGATACTAATTTTCATTTTTGCTACATATACTGCTTTAAGATTGTTAACCGGGTTTTGCGTACAAGCTGCAAGAAATTTACATAGTGCTATGCTGATAAATGTCATTCATGGAACCATGGAGTTCTTCAACCATCATTCATCGGGAAGAATTTTGAACAGATTTTCCAAGGACCTTGGATGTTTAGACGAATCTATCCCTTTAAATCTCATACTAAGTGTAACAATGACTTTAATGCTGGCTGGTATATGTGGCACAATATCAATTTTAAATTACTGGATGATCATACCTACGATAATAGTTTTGGTTGTTATAGTGTCCTACGGTATTTTGTTCCAGCCAACGACTAAAAATATCAAAAGAACGGAAGCGATAAGTAAGTGCAAAAAACTATTTCTGAAATATGATATAGTCGTTTTTAGCTAAAAGTTCCGTGTTTACACACACCATGGCATCGTTACAAGGTTTAACAACAATTAGAGCCTTCAACGGTCAAAAAATTTTGCAGCACGAATTTGACAAACACATGAATCTGTATAGTTCTGCTTACTACATGATGATCGCACTATACTCTACCATGACCTTTTGGACAGATTTAACTTGTGTCATCTACACAAGTTTAGTCATCTTTAGTTTTTTTGTATTCGAGTCAAGTATTTAAGTGTCTTATTGTTTTTTCTTGTTTGACTTATAGTGATTTCAGAAATGTATGTTGGCTATATTGGGCTAGCAATTACTCAGTCTATTTCTCTAGTGGGACTATTTCAGTACGGAATGCGAACTTGGACCGAGCTCGATTCACAAATGACTTCCGTGGAACGTGTGGTTGAGTACTCTAAACTTTCACCGGAACAAGACACTGGTACAAACACTCCTCCTTCAGACTGGCCTAAGACAGGAAAAATTGCTTTTCGGTCAGTCTCGATGCGGTACCCTGGGGGTTCTTCACCTGTTTTGAAAAGAATTTCCTTTGATATAAGATCCGGTGAAAAAATTGGTGTTGTTGGTAGAACTGGTGCCGGAAAAAGCTCTCTCATTTCTGTCCTTTTTCGCCTGTTTCCTTTCCATGGTCACGTTATTATAGATGGAATAGACACCAAATCTATACCACTGGCTACTCTTCGATCAAAAATCTCCATTATTCCTCAAGACCCGGTACTCTTTTTGGGTACCCTTCGCCAAAACGTGGACCCTTTTGAAGAATACTCGGATTCCCAACTATGGAATGCGTTAGAAGAAGTGGAACTGAGAGGAATGGTTGCTAACTGGAGCTCGGGTTTGGAAACAATTATTCTAGAGGGAGGTTCCAATGTTAGTGTTGGTCAGAGACAGTTGTTGTGTTTGGTGCGTGCCATTTTGAAAAACGTGAATATTATAATACTAGATGAAGCCACTGCTAATGTTGATTTAAAAACTGATGAAGTCATTCAGAGAGTTATAAGGAGGAGGTTTCAAGATTGTACTGTTTTGACAATTGCCCATCGCTTGAACACTATTATGGATTCTGACAAAATCTTGGTTATGGATGCTGGGACTATAGCAGAGTTTGGGCCGCCCCAAGTTTTGTTGAAAAATCCTAGTGGGCAGTTTTATAATCTTGTCAAAAGAAGTGGCAACAAAGGGGAGGATGTCGAAGCTGGAAAATCTGTTATTTTATGATGTAGATTAATTCCAGAGTGATGACGAAATAAAAATGTTAAACAGCTAGGTTAATGAGTAAAAAAATATTTTTTTTCAGCAGGTAACACATCATCTAATTACAGGAAAAGTTAACTTAACTCTGTGTAATAAAGTGTAGTAGATATGCTTACAGAATATAAATTAAACAACATATATAAAGTCCTAATATTATAACTAAATTACAAATTAAAAAAAATCAACTAGTTTATGTGAAGGTTGGCATAGTGCGTCGACCGGCGCAGCGAATCTTAACCAATTTTAGACTTTTTAAGAGTTCATTGCTTTTTGTCGGAGGTTTCTAAGTATTAACGTTTGTTTCGTGTTCCATGAAATGTTTGTTGAAGATCTAGGTGCGACTGTGTTTTTTTGCAGTCGGTAGATAAAGCTGATTATTTTATCGCGGCTTTGTAGTTTACGTTCCCCCTGTGGTAGTAATTAAACATACTTAATTATTCTAGAAATATTCGCTGCAGTCAAGAGCGTGACTGGTGCAATGTTAAGCACTGAAATAGTTAGCTTTGTTTCAAAAATGTAAAACATAAGTATTCATGATTCATTAAAAATATGTTATATTATCAAAACCACCTATATATATTTCAGCATTTATACGAAACATAATAGTAGCCTTTTTTATACATCACTTTTGATTTACAAATATTTTCACAGCCAAAAGTTTGTGTTAAAAATAAAATACAATTACGTGTATACAAAAGAGAGCTATTTTTAACTGTAACAGACATAAAAATAATTGTATATTTAAAAAATGTACACGCCCTAATAAAAACAGGAACATATTTTATGCTGATAAAACTGTGCATTTTACATTCACGTTATTAATTCAAGTTCATTCTATTGACTATATTAAACCACTATAAAAATGTATAGAACGAGAAGGAAAACCTTATAAAACAATAATATTACAATTGTGGGGCATGAAAAATTTACTTTTCCCAGTTTTATGACAAAGGAAATATACATAAAATTAACAAACAAAGAAAACATGGTATTGATTAACCGAAAAGTGTAGTTTATATTTTTATTGCGTGTGTATTTCGCATTCGAATAGTAATTAACCAATCCGGGAAAAATTCTCGGAAATCTATTTCCTAACAATTCCAATTTTCAGAATATCTACGATAGATTTCCATTTGATTTCGGTTTGAATTAAAATAAAATTTTTACGTCCTGGATAGGGATAAGTTCGCTGCTGCTTCAAGAATATTTGATCTTGTTTTGGGTTCAAAAGTAGTTATAACTATGAAAAAAGAAGCAACGGTTCCAAATATACTCAAGAGTGTAGTTCGACCAAGGACAATAAATCTGGCTGCATTAAACTGAGGAAGGTTTGTTGCAAGTATGTGACCAAACCTATCGACTTCTTCCCTTATTCGTGGATCTAGAAATTGTGTGCTGGACTTCGATACCAGAAAAACAATATTTTCAAATTCATCCATTACATTGTCACATTTTAAAAGTAACATAACTGTAGGTATCTGCAATAACCTGGTTAGAAACATAAAATACACAGAAATTAGTACCTACGAAAGACAAAAGCATAGTTAAAACGTGCGTTATTCTAGTTTGAGTCACATTTTTTGTTCCAAATTCTTGACTTCGAAGATTGTATTCCAAATAATTAAGAAACTGAAGAGTGGTCAAAGTGATTAATAAAAGTAAAGACCACCCATATAGACTATTAAATCTGTTCACAGTCTCCTTCAAGGTACAAGCATAGTACCCCATCTGATTTAAATTTTTGTTGTCTGTTCCGAAGCTGTTTTCGAAATGGTGCTTCAAAGCTTCATATCTTTGTTGAATCATTCCTATAATCGTGTGTACGTAAAAGGTGTAAAACCACTGGATATAATTCTGCAAAACTTCGAATCCATATTGTTCGAATATTAGCACTCCCATAAAAATAAACCAGTAAATTGTTGTAAAAATTGAGATAATCCAAAAAGCAACTTGGGGCACTATAAACTTCCATTGTATTCGTTCTTCTTTTTTATTGTCTGTCTCTTCTATTAAGCAGCTTGTTTGTTTTAAGCAGTTAATTAATTCAATCCACTGTGACACTTTAGATGTTTCAAACACTGTTCGACAACAAAAAAGACACAGCACAAAATCGGTAAGAAGGCACACTGTTATTGTTGCAAGATTATATTGTAAATATAATGTATTTCTGAAATACACGGATATCGAAACACAAGTAATGATGAGTAGAATCATAAAAACTTGAAGAATTTTACGAAATGTTGTGTTTTTGTCGGTTTCAATGGAAGGAGGAGTAAAGGCGAAAAACTGGCCCACTTTTAAATAGGTGTTCAATAGTTTAAAGCACATTGTTTTGTGTATGTGCTTGCAGTTTGTTTGAGAAAAATCTACTGGCGCTTGTTGTTCACATTACCTTACTAATTTCCATAAACACATCATGCAAAGCTTGCTTGGGGATTCCGGTTCACATATAATTAATAAATTATGGTTGATTATTAACGGTGAATTACGCAATAATTTAAGCTTTTTTGCACATAACTAGGATAAAAACAGTTAACAAAACTTGCGTTCAAAGAAGTCAGAGGTGTTTGTGCCCTGTCAGCTTCTTCGTCCACCGATATGTCAGTGTGCCGCTATCGCCGCTATTGGAGAGCATGGTCCACACTTCAAAAATTTGCATGATCAACGGATGGGTTGAGTAAATATTTCGCAGTATGCTTAGTCTAGCTAAAGAGTCGGTACAAATGCAGTATTTAGAGGCGCTCATCGTGGTGATAATCTTGCAAGCTTGGAGGAGAGGATAGAGTTCGCCCTTGAACACACTAGCTGAAGATGGTAGCCGTAATAGTCGGCGTACGGAGGGCCCAACGACGGCTGACCCGACGACGCCGCTGACTGATTTCGAAGCGTCCGTATACAGAAAACTCGAATCTGAGTAGGTTGCTTGTAAGGTATGAAATTCTGTCTGAATCACTGCGGCGGGTGCATTAGTTCTGAGGAACTGGAGGAGAGTGGTGTCTGGTCGGAGAGCTGGAATTAACCAAGGCGGGGATCTAGAGAACTCGTAACGAAGAATAGCAGGGCAGGATGGTATTCCGAGAGTTGCAAGATCTTGTTGAAGGCGAATTGAGATGGGTGGGATTAGGTGTCGTTTGCGATCAAACAGGATAGTCAGGTCATTGGTAAATTCATGCTGGAGGACAGGATTTCTGTAATTTCTAGAGGTGTTAGCTGCGAAGGGTAACTGGAGGTACTTAAAATGGAAAAGAAGGGGCGGTTCCTTTGCTATGCTATAGAGGCTGATAACTGGGCTTGCACGGAAAGCCTCAAGGGATATTCGTAATGTAGAATTTTGAAGGGTAATTAGAGGTGTAAGGAGCCTGGGACGGCATGCTGAGTAGACCACTGCTCCATAATCAAGTTTGGGTCGTAGTAATGTTCTGAAAATACGAAGGAGGATTTGAGTGTCGGCTCCCCAGATAGGATGAGAGAGGACTTTCAGAAAGTCTAAAACTTTTAGACAGGTAGCCTTTAAGTGATCTAGTGAGGAACATAGTCAAGATTGATTCCATGAAGCTGGAGGGGTGGAAGTGATTGCCCACGTTTCTGCGAGAAACAGATGCATTTCGTTTTTTCGGCTGAGAACCGAACTCCGTTATTTTAGGACCACGCCTGGACAGTACGTATGGCTGTTTGGAGTAGACTGGTTATTGATTGGAGTTCCTTTCCTTTTATGTATAAGATGAGATCGTCAGCAAAGAGACCGCCTTCCACAGGGTGGTTTACATCCTTGAGAATATCATTGATTGTTATGAGAAAGAGCGTCACACTAACGACGGAGACCTGCGGGATGCCGTTTTCTAATTTCTTTTTTCCCGATAACGTGTTGTTTTCCCGTACTGAAAAATTACGAGTTCCAATCGAAGAAGTTGGTCGAAGATTTCATGCCGCCAAGTCATATCATAGGCTTTTTCAAAGTCAAAAGAAACAGCCAGAACTTTGTGTCGATTAGCAAAAGCTTCGCGAATTTCAGATTCGACATTAATAATGTTGTCGGCTGTGGAACGAAGCTTTCTAAAGCCACTTTGATGGACGTTTAAAGGATGTTCCATTTCTAGATACCATATAAGTCTCCGGTTTATCATTTTCTCCATGAGTTTACACATTGTGCGAGTAAGAGAAATGGGCCGGTATGAGTTAACATCGAATTTAGGTTTGTTGGGTTTTAAGACTGGGATAATAATCTATACTACCTCTCGCTGAGTGTGCACGTATAAAATTTATCTCCCATTGTTTCTCTGTTTAAAAGTCATGCATCCTAATTGTATAAAGTGTAATAAAAAGTGTAGTGATGGGTTTGCATGTGATTTTTGCAAACAATATTATCATGTCGATTGTGCTGGTTTATCAGCTACTGAAGCTGCTGGTTTACGTATAAAAAATAGGAGAATTCATTTCTATTGTGATAACTGCAACGTGGTGGATATGATAAAAGAACTGAAAACCCAAATCCAAATACTGTATGACGAGATTGAAAATTTAAAATGTATTAAACAATCGCCAGAAACACCTTCAAACAACACCTTGTCGGAGGATGAACTTATCAGTGAAATTGAAGAAAGGCAAGAAAAAGCAACCAATGTCATTATTTATAATTTATCTGAATCAACACATCAAAACAAATCTGAGGATGATCACGAGAGATGTATCACTATTATTAATAAGGCATGTCCAAATGTTACCATTAAGAATTGTAGGCGCGTAGGTAAAATCATCGATAATCGTCCAAGACCTATCCGTATCAAATTAGACTCCGCTGATGACGTATTAGCAGTCCTAAAGGCCTACAGAAGACATGATAATATCTATCTGAATCGTGATTTAACTTATAGGCAACCTAATCAGTGTTACAATATACGCAAGGAATTTCGAGAAAGGATTGCTACTGGAGAGGAAAACATTATACTTAAATATTATAAGGGTATTCCAAAGATCATAAAAAAAAACGTCCCTCAATCCAGCAGCCAATAAAT